TCACCTCAGCCTCCCAAAGGCACGGGATTACAGGCTGAGCCACCGAGCCCGGCTAGGATAAATTTTTGAAGTGTTTAGAAGATCATGAAGTTCATGACAGACATCGATGTTGCACAAATTACCTGGAACATTTTCTTCTATCAAATTTAAGGAGAAGATTTCATCTTTGATGTTCAAAAAAGGGACTGTGATGTTTAAAAACACTGAATGCTTCTATTTTATAATATTTAATAATGACTTTTCTTTAGCATGGGATCATTCAAAAGCTAAGTTTGCAAAAATAGTCTTAAGAAATCTAGATATGGAAAAGTAAAGTCATCAATATAAGAAATTACAGTGTGATAAGTATAATAATTATAAAATAATTCTTCCTCTTTATGAAAGGATGTACTTTGGTACTTTAAATATGAATTCCCCTAATATCCTTATTAATCATGAGAAAATAAAAAGATTAAAGCTGTATGCATTTTTATAATAGTCTATTGAAATAAAGGAGATATGCCTGTAGTTGCATTGATTTTTGGAAACAATATAACAGGTTCAGAAAACACACTATGTTTACCCTCACTCTGGAATCTGAAACATTTTTATCAATTAGAAAAGAGAAAAAAAAAAAAACCTGTGGGAAACTAAGAACCATTAATAGTAGAGATTATAACAAATAAGATAGCCCTTTTAGTAACATGTAGATACTATCCTTTGATTGTTCTTATTTCTTCATTATAATAAATGTGTAAAAGAAATGGCTCTTCAGCCATATCACCTGAGGTAGGGAACTTGAGTTTAATCCTTCTTGCCACCGCTTTATGATTAGGTCTTGGCCTTTTCTCTCCCTGTAAAAATAAAAATATTTATGTTACTGTATCATCTCATGAGTTAAATGAGAACTGTGTGTGAATATATTTTGTAAAGTTAACTGTAAGCATATAGCATTTGGAGTGTTCTTGTTGAAGCCTACATTTCACATTTTTTATGTTTTTTAGCCCTTCAATTTTATCTGTAAAAGATTTTTTTTTTGCGTGTTTAAAAGGAAGAGTCTTAGAAGGAGTAAATACTCATTTTCTTTTTCTTCTTCTTTCTTCGAGTTGGAGTCTCATTCTGTTGCCCAGGTTGGAGTGCAATGGCACACTCATCGCCAACTGCAGTCTTGACCTGTTGATCTTTCCACCTCAGTCTTATAAGTAGCTGGAACTGCAAGTGCATGCCACCATGCCTGGCTAATTTTTTGATTTATTTTAGAGATGGTCTCGCCAAGCTGCCCAGGCTGGTCTTGAACCCGTGGGCTCAGGCAATCCTCTCACCTCAACCTCCCAAAGCACTGGGATTATAGGGATGAGCCACCGTGCCTGACCAGGAATGAAAAATTAGAAGCAAGAGAAAATGTGCACTAACAGGATAATGAGTACATACGTTACAAGCATATTTATATAATAGAATTTAGCAGTGAAAATGAATGAAATGCAGCTGTAGCTATTAGTGAGGATAAATTTCATAAAGGTAATATTGAGACAGAAAATGTTGCAGAAAGAAATGTATAATGAAAGCAAATTTATTTATTTATTTATTTATTTATTTTGAGTTGGAGTCTCACTCTGTCACCCAGACTGGAGTGCAGTGGCCGCTCCCGGCCACCGCAGCCTCGACCTGCTGGGTTCCTGCTATCCTTCCGCCTCAGCCTTCCAAGTAGCTGGAACTACAGGCGTGCACTACCACGCCCGGCTGATTTTTGATTTATTGTAGAGATGAGGTCTCGCCAAGTTGCCCAGGCAGGTCTCGAATCCGCAGGCTCAGGCAATCCACTCACCTCAGCCTCCCAAAGCGCTGGGATTACAGGCTGAGCCACCGAGCCTGGCTGAAAGCAAATTTTATATAAAATGCTACATATTGTTATGGATGTAGATGGAATAAAAGTATGCATATTCCCATGGAAATGACAAACATCAGAATCAAGATAGATTTATCCCTGAGCAGTGAGAAGGTGAATGAGTTTAGGAAGGAACACACAGGGGATTTCAATTATATGTAGCATGTTTTATTTTTTTAAAAGCAGGTGGCTGGTACATGGTTGTTTTATTATTCACTTCTTTTTTATTGTAAACTAGATATATTTCATAATATAACTTATAAAAGGAGAGAAATCATCCTAGCATATAAACTGAAGAATGAACTACCAAGGGTTAAGAACAGAAGGAGGCATGGTAGGAGACCACTGCAGTAGCCTGGAAGAGTAGATTTGAATATCTAGCATGTTTTCTGGCACATAGTAAGTGTTTCACATACAGGAGATATTTAGTTGTGGTGGTTGCTATTATTACCATCATCACCTTCAAGGTAAAGACCAAAGACATAAGGAGATTGTGAGGAAAGAGAAACTAAATATTTTGAGTAGCTATCTTGTGTTACGTGGTTTTTTTGTTTTTGTTTTTTGTTTGTTTTGTTTTGGTGAGTAGAGGTTGCCTAGGCTGGAGAGCAGTGGCACAATCATGGCTCACCACAGTCTCAACTTCCTGGCTCAAGGGATCCTTCTGCCTCAGCCTCCCAAGCAGCTGAGAGTTTAAGTGTGCCACAATACCCCACTAATTTTTTTTTCCACGAGGAGTCAAGGTCTCACTGTGATGCCGAGGCTAGTCTTGAACTGGGCTCAAATGATCCTCCTGCCTCCGCCTCCCAAAGTGCTGGGGATTACACATGTGAGCCACAGTGCCTCACCCTCTTTCAATCTTGACTAGAATCCAGTTGAGGTAGTTATAAAGAAACCAAGGCTCACAGAAGTGATAGCCAGAAGGCACAACGGCTGCATAAATTTCTAATGACTCATTTTCCAATGTTGTTTAAAACACACTCCCAGAACACCCCAAGTACACACCTCTTTCCTGTCTAGCACCTGAAAAAAATCGAAGCATCAAAGCATCTTTTCCCTTTGTTCATAAGTAGCACATTCTGGGTTAAATATCAATAATTGCATGCCTTATTACTTATTACAGAATGATTTTGGATCATATCTTCCTCCATTTTTCACCTACCCCATCTGCCCCTTCTCACAACTCTGCGGAAGACAGGGCAGTTGATTATTCCTGTTATACAGATAAGTGAATGAAAATACAGAAGCTAAATTAGAGGTTCTTAACCCGATATACATTACATAAATCCTATGTTAAATAGCTTATTATTGAGTGGGCGTTTTTCTAGGTAGAAAGCTTTAATTATATTTTAAAAGGAGTCCGTGGCTTCTCCCAAAAGGTTAAGGAAAAAAAAAAAAAAATACATGGATTAAGTGATTTGCTTAAAGCCTAAGGTCGCCGGTTCCTGATGGAGCCCTGACCCCAAGCAATTTTCCCTACCTCATGCCCAGAATTCAGCTCATTACAATCTATAGCATTAACATTCAAACAAAGATATTGGTAAGTACTTTTTGTAATGCTTTCCGACTGCTAAGATGGAAATGATATTAAATACATTGAAACATCTTACTTGGGAGTAACAGTTCTGTCTTGTTCAGCTGTTGGACAGTCACTCTGTACTCTACAAGGGTGTGACTTTTCAGATGAACAAGTCAAGAACTGTCGCTTTCCCAAGCCCTGCCGCAGACTTGCTACAGAAGAAAGGAATCTGATACAGCAACCATGTAACAATTTTACGATTTCGAGTACCCTAGAAAGAATAAGCATGAGACACAGCTTGATCTGGGTGGACAGCAAGATCACGAGCTAAGAACGAGATTTTCATTTCTCCTGGACCAGTTGCTTAACGCCTCCGGGTGTTCCTTCTCTCGGCTGTAAAAGGAAGAATCCTTAGAATTCTTCCAGCTCCAACATTTTATACAACTGGAAGGGATTTGAAATAAGAGTTTTGTGTATGACGCTACACAGCCTGTTATGATAGTCTTCTTTTCCCAAAGAAAAAGGTCCCCAGCGCCCAGGGTGGGTCACTTGGTCAGCGGCCCCAGGCGTCCGGGAACCTGCGGGGCCCGCCTCTCCCCAGGGCCGAGCCTGCGGTCCCCCTCCTGGGGAAGTGGGGGCGGCGGGCGGAGACAAAGCTGCGGAAGGCCGAAAGGCCAGCGACACTTCGAACACAAGTGCTCGCAACGCTTTATTTAGGAATGAAGGAAGACAGAAACGCCCAAGCGCGGCGGGTGCTCAGGAATCGGCTGGAACTGGGTGTGGAGTGCGAGCGAAGCGGGTGGGGCCTCGTGCCGGAGGCGGTTGAAGGGTGGAGGGGCAGACCGTGCCGCCTCCCGCCTCCTCCCCGCCGCGGAGGCTGGGAAGCGGTCGAGAGCAGAAGGGGAGCCAGCCCCTGCGAAGCGCCGGGTCCCAGCGAGGCCACGTGACTGAGCCCAGGGGCGGGGAGAGGCGCGCCCCGCCCAGTGCGCATGCTCGCGGCTCGGGGCGCTGAAATTCAAATTTGAACGGCCGCAGAAGGCCGAGTCTGACCCTGGAGGCTGAGGGGAAGAGGAGCGTCGTCTGTGGGAGAGTTCCCCCCGCCCCGGACTCCTCGTTTTCTCCAGGAGACACACGGAGCCGAGACTCACTTCTTTTCTTCTCCTGAATTTGAACCAACGTTTGCATCGCCTCGTACTCGACACGCGGCGCCTGGGGCGATGGATCCGTTTACTGAGGTGAGAAAATGTGCGGGCGCAGCCAGCCATGACCCCTCCAGTCCCCCTCTGTTCCTCGGTTCTGTCAACCGAGGCGGCGAGCGCCTGCGCGCGCGTGCGCAGTGTGCGCGTGCGGGGGTCGGGGGTCGGGGGTCGGGGGTCGGGCGCCGGGCGCCGGCGCGGCGGGGCGTGGCGTGGCAGTGCTGGGGTAGCCGAGCCCGGTCAGATTCTGTGTCTCGGGCTCGTCTGAGACTGGGAGGAGAGCTCAGCGTCTGTTCTACAAGGCGGTCGTGAAAAGTCTCCCGTCAGCCCCCGTTATGGTAATGCCAGTCTGCAGTCTCCTCCCTCCCGAGCGGGGCTTGGGGCCTGGCGGAACGGGTCCTGCTGGAAAACGCTGGAAGACCGCACAGGGTGGGGTCGGGGCCCGGGTGACTCAGGGCTGGGTGCGCGGCCGCCGCCGGGGAACGGCATGGAATGTGATTTGCGGAGGACGAAATTCCTGCGAACGCTCCAAGCAGCAGATGCTGGGAGCCGCCGCATTCGTTCATAAAATGTCAGTGGTTCCTTCAGACCCCATTGCTCAGCCAACCTAGCGAAGCAGTTTCACACCCGGCATGGACACTTGAGTTGGAAGGAAACCGTGCTGGCTGGCTAGCTGACTGTGGACGAACCAAAATGATCAGCCCGCGATTGAAAACACCAGAGCAAAGAAAGTGAAGTGGAACGCTCCCCGCCACCGCAGCCCCCACCTGCCGTCCTTCCGCCTCCGCCTTTCAAGTAGCTGGAACACGCTCAGCTACTTTTTTGATTTATTGGTAGCGACGAGGGCTCGCCACTTTGCCCAGGCTGGTCTCGAACCTGCAAGGCAGTCCTCTCGCCTCCGCCTCCCAAAGTGCTGGGATGACACACATGAGCCACCGCGCCCGGCCTCCTTTAGCTTTTGTGGAGAATGAACGTTGTCAACGTTCAGGAGTGTCTTGTTGCCTGTGGTCCACTGTCTTTTATTTCAGGACAGTTCCTCTTTCTTGAGGTTGTTGTGCAAGTTTCCAACTGCAATATTCTTGAGTGTTTCGTTTTTTGAGTGGGCCTAAAGGTGTGTCGACACTGGTTTCAAAAACTTAAATGCTTTCGAGAGTAGTAATTCTTTTTGGGGGGATGTAATTACGGTCCCAATAAGTTATGTGTAAGATATTAAAGATTTCGTCCATTAAGAGTTTACTTGTCTTCAAACACAACAGTATTCTATTTTTCTGTTTCAAATTCCCAGTCATCTCATGGAAAACACATCAATTTGTTCTTCTTCCCTAAAGATTCTAGAAAAATTGAGAGCCCATTTTTTTTTTTTTTTTTTTTGAGTTGGAGTCTCACTCTGTCGCCCAGACTGGAGTGCAGTGGTCGCTCCCGGCCACCACAGCCTCGACCTGCTGGGCTCCAGCGATCCTTCCACCTCAGCCTTCCAAGGAGCCGGAACTACAGGCACACGCTACCACGCCCAGCTAATTTTTTGATTTATTGTAGAGATGAGGTCTCGCCTGCCCAGGCAGATCTCGAACCCACGGGAGAGCCCATTTTTTGTATCAGCTTTAAAGTGGGGCTAGCTGGTCCTGCACCAGATATCTTTCACTTACATTGGAGTTAAAAAGGATACATTTATTTTTTGTTATTAACTCAGAATAGGATTCTTTAAAACATTGGCCCTGTTGCCATGTGCAGTGGCTCATGCCTGTCATCCCAGTATTTTGGGGAGCAGAGGTGAGAGGATTCCGTGAGTCTAGGGGTTTGAGACCAGCTTGGCAACTTGGTGAGAACTCATTTCTACAATAAATCAAAAAATTAGTTGGGCATGGTGGCACGGGCCTGTGGCTCCAGCTACTTAGAAGGATGAGGAGGGCAAATCATCTGAGCCCAGCAGGTCGATCCCTATTATGTGTTCTCCTAAGTAGCTGACAGGAACAAAGCATTTTCAAAGTTGGCTGAACATTGTACTTCATTTTACTTAACAGTGTTATTTTGAAGCAGTACAAATCTCAGCTGTAAGAAACTTTCTGTTTAGATCATTTTAGAATGCACTCAGAAAAACATATGATTTAATATGAACAGTTTATATTATGAAAACTTAGATCAGTTGCAGTTGAAATAAACAGCTTTGACATCTTTTCCTTAATTGGTAATGCCCGAACTGTTTGAATTGGTTCCAACTATTAGGTGCATGATTATAGCATTCATAACATTTTTGCACAGTGAAATGAACTTCTGGTCAGTTCTTGGTCTGAAAGGACTTTCTCAACCAGGGTTTTTCCTCAGAACTGTCAAACAGATTATTGGGGAGAATATTTTCCCAATTCTCCCAAGGTTGATTTATAACTAATGCCATCCTACAAATGTAGGGAAGAAATTAATTCACATTAATGCCAGAGTATCAGGGCTTAATTCTCTTGGTAACTCTGGTTGAGAAAGATTACTATCATTCTAAACTCTGCAATTAAGACTTCTGCACTGGTCCTCCTCCCAGCAGTCACAGTGCTGCTCTGGCACACACTGCCTTTCCCTGTCCCATCTACCTGGCAAACTCTCATGTGTCCTCCAGCTTGTAGTTCTCCTTTCTTCAGACAGGAGATCACGTTTCACAATGCTCATCTCACTTGAATTTTACTGTCAAATGTGTTTACACATTGAACATATTTTCTGCCAGAATATGAGCTTCATGAATGCAGGGACTGTTCTTTACAGGGATATTATCCCTGATGTCAAGCACATCCAATATTATTTTGCTGAATTAAGTTAAAAGATAGCCATTAGGTGCAAATTATTTTACAAACAAATAATTGCATATAACAGTAACTGTTAGAACATTTTAGCAATTTCTTTTTTATAGTCTCATTCTTTCCCCCAGGCTGGAGTGGAGTGGCTCAATCACGGCTCACTGTAACCTCGACTTCCTGGGTTCAGGCAATCAGCCTCCGCCTCCGCCTCCGAAGTAGCTGGGACTACAAGTGCATGCCACCATGTCCAGCTAATTAAAAAATTTTTTTGTAGAGATGTGGCCTCGCTGTGTTGTAAAGGCTGGTCTCGAATTCCTGGTCTCAAGTAATCCTGGCCTTGGCCTCCCAAAGTGCTAGGATTTATGGGTGTGCGCTACCATGCCTGGCCTCATCTGGAATAACTCACTTCCTGATTATGTTATTGCAATGTTTACTTTTTTTTCTCTTTTAAAAAATTTTTTATTTTAAAGATGTGAGGTGGCCGGGCTTGGTGGCTCAGCCTGTAATCCTAGCACTTTGGGAGGGCGAGGCAAGTAGATTGCCTGAGCCTGTGGGTTCGAGACCAGCCCAGGCAACTCAGTAAGCCCTCGTCTCAACAATAAAAATAAAAAATTAGCCAGGCATGATAGCGTGCGCCTGCAGCTCCGTCTACTTGGAAGGCTGAGGCAGAAGGATCACCAGAGCCCAGAAGGCTGAGGCTGCAGTGGCCATGAATGTGCCACTGCACTCCAGCCTGGGTGACAGAGTGAGACTCCAACTCAAGTAAAACAAAACAAAAAAAGATGTGAGATGCACTTCAGGATTAGGTACAAGTAGTCATTGTACAGGAAAAGTTTGGGCTCCCCTTTGTGCAATGTTTAATTTTGTATGTGTCTACAGTTTGAAGAAGAAGGTGTGATATTTGAAGGAATGTATCTTATGTTTTTAAAAATGTTTACATTCCTGATAAACAATTACAGGGAGGGACTACTTTTATTGAGCTGTTAAGTTTATTTTTTTAAATGTTTAATTTTTGAGTCAGAGTCTCATTCTCACCCAGGCTGAAGTGCAGTGGCATGCTCATGGCCACCCCAGCATCAACCTGCTGAGCTCAGGCAATCCTTCCACCTCAGTCTTCAAAGTAGCCAGAACTACAGGTGCACGCTACCCCAGACACAAGGTCTCATCAAGTTGCCCATGCTGGTCTCAAACCCCTGGGCTTAGGCAGTCCTCTCGCCTCAGCCTCCCAAAGTGCTGGGATTATAGACTTGAGCAACCTGTTAAGTTTATATACTTCAGATAAATTATTTCCTTTAAATTAATAACTTTGGCCTGGCACGGTGGCTCATGCCTATAATCCCAGCACTTTGGGAGGCCGAGGTGAGAGGATTGCCTGATCCCACAGTTTCGAGACCAGCAAGGGCAACTTGGCAAGACCTCATCTCTACGGTAAATGAAAAAATTAGCCATGTGGTGGCGCGTTCCTGTAGTTCCAGCTACATGCTACTGCACTCCAACCTGGAGACTGAATGAGACTCCGACTCAAAAAAAAAAAAAATGTAATTAATTAATGAATGACCTTGTTTATTAACCATATTTCACAGATTAAGACCCTTTTTTTTTTTTTTTGCTTATCTATTTTTTTAAATCTGGGAATTTTTGAACCTAATGTAAACAGTAGAACACTTGTGTGTGCTTGAATGACAAAATGACTTTTTTTGTTGTTACCCATTGCTCATGGTAACTGAAGCTATATTGACTCTCAACTGTTCTAACTGACCAGAATGGAATGTAGGCATGTCCATGAATGAATATAATTAGGTTATTGTTGTATCTGGGGAGTGATACATTTTGTCATGGGAAATTCATCAGACATATGAATTTGCAACAAAACGATCATTCTTGAGTTTGTCAAAGGAATCTTATATAGGGGTTGAAGATCTTGTGTTTTGGAAGGCATTTGGTTCATAGTTTATTCTTACAGTGATAACGTATTTCAATTTAGCGTCACTTCTTTCAGTGAACCTTAACTTAGAAAATCATTCCTAAGAATACAGAGTTGTGCCTTTCTTTTTTTTTCAATTTTTAAAATTTTAAAGATGTGGGGTAAAGATGTTCATTATGCAGGTACCCTTGTTGATGAGGTGCACCCCTCCCTCCCCTGGCAGTTTCCCTCAACTCCCAATCCCACCCCTGCTCCTGTGCCTTCTTTCAAATTTAGCTCAAACTACTTTTGCATACTCAGAAGAATTTCTTTCTTTCTTTCTTTTTGAGTTGGAGTCTCACTCTGTCTCCCACGCTAGGGTGCAGTGGCACGTTCACAACTGCTGCAGCCTTGACCTGATAGTCTCAGGTGATCCTTCCGCCTCAGCCCTCCAAGTAGCTGAAGCTACTGGCATACACCACCACATCCAGCTAATTTTTTTGATTTATTGTAGAGATGAGATCTCACCAAGTTGCCCAGACTGGTATTGAACCTGTGGGCTCAGGCAATCCTCTCACCTCGGCCTCCCAAAGTGCTGGGATTATAGGCGTGAGGCACCATGTCCAGCCCAGAAGAATTTTTTAAAGTTGTTACTCTAATTAATTTTTAAAACTATCTTTTTTTTTTCCCCTTATGTAGAATTGTTGATCTTAAACCCATGAGAAGAAAGCTAACCCTAGACTTCTTCAGGTCCACATTTCTTTGCCTCCAATTCTTATGTGTCTAAAGACTAGGAACCAAAGACATGCTTTTGTAGGAGGGTTCTTATTATCCTTTTTTTTTTTTTGAGTGGGAGTCTCACTCTGTCATCCAGACTGGAGTCCAGTGGCATGTTCATGGCCACCACAGCCTCGACCTGCTAGGTTCAGATAATCTTCTGCCTCAGCCTCCCAAGTAGCTAAAGCCACAGGTGTGTGCCTCCATATCTGGATAAATTTTTTTTTTTTTTTTTGAGTTGGAGTCTCACTCTGACGCCCAGACTGGAGTGCAGTGGCCACTCCCGGCCTCCACAGCGTCGACCGGCTGGGTTCCGGCGATCCTTCCGCCTCAGCCTTCCGAGTAGCCGGAATTACAAGCATGTGCTACCACGCCCGGCTGATTTTTTTTGATTTATTGTAGAGATGAGGTCTTGCTGACCAGGCGGGTCTCGAACCCGGGCTCAGGCAATCCACTTACCTCAGCCTCCCAAAGGCGTGGGATTACAGGCTGAGCCACTGAGCCCGGCCCTCTGGCTAATTTTTAAAAATTTATTGTAGAGACGAGATCTCACCAAGTTGCCCAGATTGGTCTCGAACCGCTGGACTTAGGCAATCAATCCTCTCGCCTCCGCCTCCCAAAGTGCTGGGATTATAGGTGTGAGCCACCGTGCCTGGCACATTTATATATAAGTCAGAAGTCTGAAGTTAATTTTACTGGGTTAAAATCACAATGTCAGCAGGATTGCGTTCCTTTTGGAGGCTCTAGGAGAGAATCTGTTTTTGGCCTTTTCTAACTTCTAAAGGCCATGTGCATTTCTTGGTTTATGGCCCCCTTTCTCTATCTTCAAAGTCATCAATCACATAACTCTGACCTCCACTTTTATTGTCACATCTTCCCTGACTCTGACCTTCCTGCCTTCCCCTTTTCCTATGTAAGGATCTTTGTGACTACATTGGGCCTACCCAGATAATTCATAATAATCTCCATCTGAAGATTTTTAGTCCTGTCAGTCAAGTTTCCCTTTTGTCCAATAAGGCACCATATTCACAAATTCAGGCCATTAGGACAAAAACATTCAGGGATCATTATTTTTTCTATAATGGCAGCTTAAAACAACCAACTTTGTTTCTTATGATTCATTCAGTCAGTGATTTATGTTGGGCTCAGCTGGGTTGTTATTCTGCAGGGGTCATACAGAAATCTTCAGGGATCTGGCAAATTATCTGGGACTGGATGGTCTAAGATGGTCTTATTCACGTGTCTGGTGGTTGATGCTGGCCATTAGCTGAGCCATGTGTCTCTAGTAAACTTAACCTGGGCTTCTTCATGTGGTGGCAGTGGTCCAAAGAGAGAGAGCCCAAACTGTAAGATCTCTTGATGCCTAGGAAGTCATACAGTATCACTTCTGCCACAATTTATTGGTCAAAGCAAATCACAAGTCCAGCTTAGATTCAAGGGTGGGGAAAAAGGTTCTACCTTTTGACAGAAGCAGAAAGAATTTGTGTCCGTTTAAAATCTTATGTAACTAAATTGACACATTTTATTTCCCTTTTAATGTTCCTATTACATCTGTAATAATTATGGCATTGCATGCTCATTTAGTGAATCTTGACTTTATTACTTCAGATTTCACCTTTTTTTTTTTTGAGTTGTACTCTTACTCTGTTGCCCAGACTGGAGTGCAGTGGCCATTCATAGCCAAACACAGCCTCAATCTGCTGGGCTGGGGTGATCCTCCCACCTCAGTCTTCCAAGTAGCTGGAAGTACAGGCACACACCACTACGTCAGCTAATTTTTTGGTTTATTGTAGAGATGAGGTCTCACCAAGTTGTCCAGGCTGTCTCTCGAACCCCTGGGCTCAAGCAATCCTCTCGCCTCCATCTCCCAAAGTGCTGAGATTATAGACATGAGCCACCATGCCTGGCCACATTTCACTTTTGAAGTGTACATAACTATTATCCTGCATGACAATTGGTAATTTTAGAAGATACAGTGATTTTGTGAACATTTGACTAAACTCGTGTTTTAACACTGATATATTTATATATGTAGAAACTGCTTGAGCGAACTCGTGCCAGGAGAGAGAATCTTCAGAGAAAAATGGCTGAGAGGCCCACAGCAGCTGCAAGGTCTGTGAATCATGCTAAGAGAACTAGAGAGCCACTTTCGGAAGCAAGTAACCAGCAGCCCCTATCTGGTGGTGAAGGTAAAAGATGTGGGGAAAAGTAGAATTTGTGTTTTCTTAAAGGAGACAAACCCTAAACATTTCATTGTGCATGTAGAAGAACTAAAGTCTTTGGGAGACAAATGTAATAGTTTCTGGGGGAAAGAACAACCTTCTGTTTTTTTTCAGGGTTATTATATCAGGCCTAGAACCTATTAGGTTGGAACAGAGTTTCTTTTAACAAATATTTCAGATTAATTTATTGGACTTTATTTTCTTTAATCTACAGTTATCCTTAAAACCTGAAGGAAAGAAAAATCAAGGAGCAGGGTAACACACTGCAGTGGTGTGGGATTTTTTGCCCCTACAGTGTCAGAACAGCTGGTTTTTGAGTTCAGATGGTGTCTCTGGCACAAGGGAAGGCAGACTACTTCCATATGCTTGAAATTTAATGAGTTGTTTTCATCCTCTATTTTGCTTAACCAACTCTCTACAGCTGGACTTGAAGTTTAGGTTGTTAATCTCCAGAAGTGGTAGAATTAAATAAAAACAAACACATGACATACATACAAGCACAAACTCACCTGGAATCTTATATTATTCTTTCCTAAATTCTGGCAAACCCAGCTAGCATCACCAGCCACTGCTTTAGTCTTTTCTTGGAGTGTGGAATAGTCTGACGATAGTAGTATTCCTTAGTATAACTATAAAATACATGCAGAAAAAAGAGTGTTACAACAGAGGGCAAAACTAATAGGACAGAAAATTAGAAGAGGGCATGGGGCTGCCTCCATTATTTGGAAATTAACTATACAAGAATTTATTTTCACACATTTATGTGTTTTGAAGGGAGAGAGGGAAATACATATTAAATAGTATTTAGCCAGGAAAACAGGGCCCTGGACTTTAGTCCAGGATCTTCTGTTTTCACTGTGAGATGGATTTGTACTGTTGAGTACTATGAACTTGAAAATGAGTGCTTTGGAACTATATTTTGATGCTTAAGTAGAACTATGTGTTTGATGTTTTACTGTTGTACATAAGAACTGTAAGCTGGAAGAATTTTGTATTTATGGGTGGTGTTACATGTTAAAATAGGAACACTTAAAAAATGATTATGTGAGTTCATAGAAAATAGATCCAAAAATGAGTTACAAAAGATTAGAAAGTTTCATGATATATATTTAATTAGATTTATGTCAACGAGGGCAGTCATGGTATACCAATATTATTACTTCGGTTACTACCAGAACAAGAGCCCTATGAAGTTACAGTTTTACTTTTAAAAAGATTAATTTTTCCAGGATATATATTGAAACTCATTTTTGGGTAGAAATTAAATGCCATATGTTTGGATAGATCCTTTAAGGGCTTTTTCACTTATTTTGTAGGTGTTTATGGAAGTTTAAAATGTGATATATTAAGTAACTGTACTGGTGAATTTGTTTGGTTTTCACCAGCTAATTCAGTCACTTTTTATGTTTCTTGTCTGTTTCTAAACCTCAAGTCAGATGCCTTTCTACCCTTGCTTGTTAGTTATTGTCCATGAAAGATAGTTTCAAAGACAGAAAACCTGGTGTCTACCCTTAGCTCAGTTGTGTGACTTTAGGCGGGTAACTTAATTTGTTCAGGCTTGATTTTTCTTATGTAAAAATGAGGTGATTAGACCATAGAGTCCTTAAAATCTGTTACAACGCTGGCTTATTCTAAATATATGCGCTTTTTATTTCTTCCTGTCTTAAGATTACCTAAGATGTTATACATATATCTTTAAAATGTTATTTAAATTTCCTTTCATTAAGGTTTTTAAGCCATAAATTGTGTTTGCTTAACAAGAAATCCTTCAGCCAGGTACGGTGGCTCATACCTGTAATCTCAGCACTTTGGGAGGCAGAGACAAGAGGATTGCTTGAGCCCACAGGTTCTAGACTAGCCTGAGCAACATGGCGTGACCTTGTCTCTATAATAAATTTTTAAAAATTAACTGGATGTGATGGCATGCGCCTGTAGTTCCAGCTACTTGGAAGGCCTAGGTGGAAGTATCACCTGAGCCCAGCAGATCAAGGCTGTGATGACCATGAACGTGGCACTGCACTCCAGCCTAGGCAGCAGAGTGAGACTCTGACAAAAAAAAAAATCCTTCATATCATAGATTTCATAGATTTCTAAGTTACTGAAAGTAAGGTTTTACATATTTCTTGTTGTAACCAAAAGCACTTAAAGAAATAGAGAAAGATAATGTTTTATTAACTTGTTATGTACTTACCTCAAGTTTTCATGCTGTGAAAAATTACAGAATTTTAAATGTCTTTTTTTGTTATTTTTAATTTAGAGAAATCTTGTACAAAACCATCACTGTCAAAAAAACGTTGTTCTGGCAATAGTGAAGTCGAAGTTTCTAACTTGGAAAATAAACAACCAGTTGAGTCAACTTCTGCAAAATCTTGTTCTCCAAGTCCTGTATCTCCTCAGTTACAGCCACAAGCAGCAGATAATGTCAGTGATCCTGTGGCTGTCCCAACATCACTGCTAGGCATGAAGAGAGGACTGAACTCAAGATTGGAAGCAACTGCAGCTTCCTCAGTTAAAACACGTATGCAGAAACTTGCAGAGCAGCGGCGCCGTTGGGACAATGATGATATGACAGGTATAAATTTATAGATGTTATGGCCCATAAATCTGTTTCAATAAGATTCAATTTGATATATTGAGAATTTTATCAGTTAATACATGAAAGGTAATACTTTTGTTTAATTTATATCCTGAGTATCCTTTGCTTGCAAATGACTTGTATACCAATAGTATATTTATGATTGGTTGTATCCTCATTGAAATAGATGATGATGAGGTTCTTGGACTAGTTCAAAGAAACCTGATCCTATAACTGCATTTCCTTATATTTGCAATGAAATACAGTAGAGAACAAACTGCACTTGGCATGATTAGCATTGCTGACCCTCAGCTCTATATTCAAGAAATCCGATTTCGTAGATTCACTAATAAACTTGAGGCACTAAGGTATGCAATGCTGTTCAGTTTGGGAGAGAGAAAATGTGTTTTGTTACACTAGAAATGAGACGAAGTCGTGATCCTGGCCTTTCATGAGCCTATAATTAGGTGGGGAGCCTAAGAAGTAAATCAACAAATAATGTAATAGGGTTATTCATGCTATGATCAATTTTCTTTATCTTCCTCCTTGTTACAGAAAAAAAAAGTTTTGACATGACTTACAAAAATACCTCTATTGCAAAATAGGAAAAATAAGGAAGTTAGTGTGAAGAGAAAATTTGGGAAGGAAAAACAAAGATTTGAAAGGTAAAGCCAGCCGGCGGGATTACAGGCTGAGCCGG